ATTGAAGTGTATTCAGTTTCATTTTACGATAAGAGATTTCGTCTATTAGATTAAAACTCGAAGAATGTGTTTTGATATAGCAGTGTATTCAACCGTTTAAATGAGGGATTGTCATTTGTCATTACCAAATTGAGGTTAATTAAAGATGGTTATGTTTTATTCCATTAATTGGACGGGACGTCTTTATCGGAGGTGAATGTGATTTACTTTGTCACATTCGATGGCTATGGTAAAGCGATTGAANTTTCGTCTATTAGATTAAAACTCGAAGAATGTATTTTGATATAGCAGTGCATTCAACAGTTTTAATGAGGGATTGTCTTTTGTCTTTCCCAGATTGAGGTTAATTAAAGATGGTTATGTTTTATTCCATTAATTGGACGGGACATCTTTATCGGGGGTGAATGTTATTCACTTTGTCACATTCTATGGCTAAGGTATAAGCGATTGAAGTGTATTCAGTATCATTTTACGATAAGAGATTTCGTCTATTAGATTAAAACTCGAAGAATGTATTTTGATACGTCATTGCATTCAACAGTTTTAATGAGGGATTCTTTATTGTCTTTCCCAGATTGAGATTGTTTGAAGATACGTATGTTTTATTCCATTAATTGGACGGGTCGTCTATATCGGATGCGAATGTGATTAATTTAATTACATTCGCTGGTAAGGATAAGGCGACATTTTAAAAACCAATTCCTTAGTACGAGTAGAAATTTTGTCTCATCGACTAAAGATTTAATTTTGATACATCTTTCATAGAACGAGTATTTGAAACTAGATTTATTTTTTATGGTTGTTTTTAGAAGGAGAGTGCTATTCGATGGAGATTTACTTTGCTATTTTCTGATGGAGTGTCTATATCGGGGGTGAATGTTATTCACTTTGTCACATTCTATGGCTAAGGTATAGGCGATTGAAGTGTATTCAGTTTCTTTTTACGATAAGAGATTTCGTCTATTAGATTAAAACTCGAAGAATGTAATTTGATACGTCAGTGCATTCAGGCGTGTTAAGGAGGGGTTTTCATTAGTCTTTCCTGATTGAGGTTACCTGAAGATGGTTTTGTTGTACTCCTGTAATTCTACGAGATGTCTTTATCGGAGGTTAATGTGATTTACTTTGTCACATTCGATGGCTATGGTATAAGCGATTGAAGTGTATTCAGTTTCATTTTACGATAAGAGATTATGTCTATTAGATTAAAACTCGAAGAATGTATTTTGAAATGCCAATGCATTCAACGGTTTTTATGAGGGATTCTTTATTGTCTTTCCCAGATTGAGATTGTTTGACGATAGTTATGTTTTATTCCATTTATTGGACGGGACGTCTTTATCGGAGGTGAATGTGATTTACTTTGTCACATTCGATGGCTACGGTAAAGCGATTGAAGTGTATTCAGTTTCATTTTACGATAAGAGGTTTCGTCTATTAGATTAAAACTCGAAGAATGTATTTTGATACGTCATTGCATTCAACAGTTTTAATAAGGGATTCTATATTGTCTTTCCCAGTTTGAGATTGTTTGAAGATACGTATGTTTTATTCCATTAATTGGACGGGACGTCTTTATCGGAGGTGAATGTGATTTACTTTGTCTTATTCGATGGCTATGGTATAGGCGATTGAAGTGTATTCAGTTTCTTTTTACGATAAGAGATTTCGTCTATTAGATTAAAACTCGAAGAATGTATTTTGATATAGCAGTGCATTCAACCGTTTTAATGAGGGATTCTAAATTGTCATTCCCAAATTGAGGTTACTTGAAGATGGTTATGTTTTATTCCATTAATTGGACGGGACGTCTTTATCGGAGGTGAATGTGATTTACTTTGTCACATTCGATGGCTATGGTAAAGCGATTGAAGTGTATTCAGTTTCATTTTACGATAAGAGATTTCGTCTATTAGATTAAAACTCGAAGAATGTATTTTGATATAGCAGTGCATTCAACCGTTTAAATGAGGGATTGTCATTTGTCATTCCCAAATTGAGGTTAATTAAAGATGGTTATGTTTTATTCCATTAATTGGACGGGACGTCTTTATCGGAGGTGAATGTGATTTACTTTGTCACATTCGATGGCTATGGTAAAGCGATTGAAGTGTATTCAGTTTCATTTTACGATAAGAGATTTCGTCTATTAGATTAAAACTCGAAGAATGTATTTTGATACGTCATTGCATTCAACAGTTTTAATGAGGGATTCTTTATTGTCTTTCCCAGATTGAGATTGTTTGAAGATACGTATGTTTTATTCCATTAATTGGACGGGACGTCTTTATCGGAGGTGAATGTGATTTACTTTGTCTTATTCGATGGCTATGGTATAGGCGATTGAAGTGTATTCAGTTTCTTTTTACGATAAGAGATTTCGTCTATTAGATTAAAACTCGAAGAATGTATTTTGATATAGCAGTGCATTCAACCGTTTTAATGAGGGATTCTAAATTGTCATTCCCAAATTGAGGTTACTTGAAGATGGTTATGTTTTATTCCATTAATTGGACGGGACGTCTTTATCGGAGGTGAATGTGATTTACTTTGTCACATTCGATGGCTATGGTAAAGCGATTGAAGTGTATTCAGTTTCATTTTACGATAAGAGATTTCGTCTATTAGATTAAAACTCGAAGAATGTATTTTGATACGTCATTGCATTCAACAGTTTTAATGAGGGATTCTCTTTTGTCTTTCCCAGATTGAGGTTGCTTAAGGATAGTAAAGTTAATATCCTGTAATTGTACGAGTTGTCTTTGTCGGAGGCGATTGTGATTAATTTAATCACATTCGTTTGTAAGGATAAGGCGACATTTAAAAAACCAATTCCTTATTACGAGTAGAAATTTTGTCTCATCGACTAAAGGTCTAAGATTAAATTTTGATACATCTTTCATAGAACGAGTATTTGAAACTAGATTTATTTTTTATGGTTGTTTTTAGAAGGAGAGTGCTATTCGATGGAGATTTACTTTGCTATTTTCTGATGGAGTGTCTATATCGGGGGTGAATGTTATTCACTTTGTCACATTCTATGGCTAAGGTATAGGCGATTGAAGTGTATTCAGTTTCTTTTTACGATAAGAGATTTCGTCTATTAGAT